GGGGGTCCGGCGGGGTCCAAGCGGGCTCGGGCTGGGGAGCAGCGGGGGCGCCCCTCCCGGGGGCTCCGGCCCCCGCGCCGGGAACGCGCGCAGTCGAGGGGCGCAGGGAGACTTTTCCGGGCAGTTTCCACCCGGGCAGGAGGAGCCCGGGATCCAGCCGGAGTCCGGAAGGAGGAAGGAGGTGGGGGGTGCGAGGTGGACGCACCGACCCGAGGTGGGCGACTCGGGGAGGACTGACAGTTGAGTCGGTCCATCTTGGAGAGAGAGGCCGAGAAAGGACAGAAAGCGAGAGAGAGAGGGAGAGAGAGAGAGAGGGAGAACCCGTCCGCCCCCCTCCTTTCCCCCGCTAGGTATAACCCCAAACAAAATCGTGGGAATAAAAGAGAAAAGTGATTGGCAAGAGCGCGGCCGGCGCCTGGGGGAGGGGAGGGGGCTGGGGACGCGAGCGAGCGCCGCGGGGCTCGAGAGTTGGGAAGGAATAAACCAATCCCCCCAACACACAAGCCCGCGACCGCCTGCCCAGCCCCGGGAAGGAAACTTCGCGCTCTCTGCGCTCGCGGCCGCTGCCCTGCACGGGGCCGCGGAGACGCTCCGACGCGGGGCGGGAGCTCGGGGCCCGCGGGCCGCCCCGCCGCCTGCAACCCCGGCCCGCGCCTCGCGGGGACCAGCGGGGCCCACTTGGAGCAACTTTCCTCCAGGGGAGACGGTTGTGCGCGCCCTCCGCCCACCCTAGAGCTGCGCGGCGCGCGGAGGGGGAGCAGTGCGGGGTGCCCGGGAGAGACAAACACAAAGAGGAGAGAATTTTGATTAGAGACAAATGATGCTTCTCTGTCTTTCTCTGTCTCTCTGTCTCTCTCTCCCCCCCCCCTTCTCTCTAGGTTTTGTGTGTGTGTGCGTGCGCACGCGCGCGCGCGCGAGTGTGTGAGTGTGTCTTGCTTGTTGTGGTGGAGGTGTCGAGCCATATGGGGGAGTGATAGAGGAATTTTAGTCAGAAACTGTTCCTTACGTTGTCCTGCCTTTCCCCTTTGTGCTGCCTTTGATCTATTTGCTTGGCTCAGTATTACAAAAACAAGTACAATAATATATTCCGAGATCCACTTCAAGCTGCTTCGTTTTAAGTCTCTCTCCCCCTCTCCCTTTTTTAATTTAATTTTTTTCATTCTGCTATCTGGCATTATTTAAGGTGGTCCATGCATGGGAGACCTCCTCTTGCCCATCTCTGGGTAATTGAGGAGACACTAAAATCACACCTAATGCCCCCCTCTCCTCTCGTGCGTTTCCACTGTTCTTTTTATTAAATGTTGGTTATTGATTTCCGAAAATCAATGTCTGTTGGGGGGCTTTCCCCCTCTCTCTGACAAGTATCTAAAGCACGTTGCTGATCAACTGGATAACAACAAGCTTTGTGCCGGGAGGCTTTTCTTCTTTTTATGTTAAACTGTCTTTTTTTTTTTCTTAAGAGGAGAGAGAGAGAAAGGAACTTGAGATTTGAAGCAAGGTTCCTGTTCTTTTGTGGGACAGCTAGGTTAGAGTGTTTCTTCTTACCTTCTGCTGCCCACCCACTAAGGGATTTTGCCACCCTAGACCAGTCTAGCCTGGCGTGAGGTCAGGCCAGAGCCCAGGTCTAGAGAAAGAGAGGACTCCAAGCTCCCAGGGAACCCAAGGGGGGCAGCAGATAGGGAGGCCCAATAGGGGTGTCGCAGGTGAAGGCAGCGCTATGGAGGTGTGCAGCCAGGGACACTGCAAACTCCCTCCACCCCACCCCCAGGCACTAACTCGGGAGAAGCCTCAACACCGGAGTGGGAAGGCGAACTGTATTTTAAGGTCCTGCATACTTAACACCAAGCATGGCCATTGCTTCTCTAACTTTGACTATTACCTGCCTCTTTTTTCCAAGCAACTGTGGAAAAATAGGCTGGGAGTTGGTATTGTTGTTGTTTTTCTTGTTTTGATTTCATTTGACTGAGTAGTGTCCTGATTTTGAGAAGCATGTAGAAAGTCCCCTTCCTCTTCCTCTCCTTTCCCCGCCCCCCTTGTCCCTTTTCCCATCTCTTTCTCATCAGGCACGTATCTTTTCCCGCTGGGAATTGCCAGGATTTATCTGAACTGAGTGGATTTTTCTTCTTTCCTGGATCCATGGAAAAGATGTCACGTTGGGGTTGGTGTCTTTGCTGACAACACTAAATATGATGATGCTTATCGAAATCATATAGAAATTCCTAGAAAGGAATACTGGCAATCGTCATTATAAACGTCAAAGCTTTTTTTTTTTTTTTTAAGGTCATCCCGAGGAGTAGATTTTAATGAAACAAACATCATAGATACACAGTCTAAGGTCACGTCACGGGATGAACCTGTAAAGGTGTGTGTGTGTGTGTGTGTGTGTGTGTGTGTGTGTGTGTGCATTTGCAAAACTGGTCCGAAATGTGGGGGAGGAAGCAGTGCTTCATACAGTTATTAAAAAGCAAAGGAGAAGGAGGCAGTGTAAGGGAATGAAAGACAGAAGTCTCTCTTTCAGAAGTCTCTAAAAGCCACTCTTCAAGATTCTGAGGCTAGCAAGATGCCTGAGATAAAATCCAGTGTCAGGGCCAAGGCAGTCAGACAGGCAGTCCCCTTGCCCCCACCTGGAAAGGGATGAAATACCTTCTAAGAAAATGAGATGTGCTGGAGAAAAGGAGGAGTGGAGTGAGGGGAAAGGGGGCAGAAGTGAGTTACCCACAGACAAGAATGTGTGTCAGTTTCAAGAAAGTTCGGTCAGATGATCCCTAGTCCCCTGACTCACTCCGTAATACTTTCACTGAAGCTGGAGAGGAGGGGGTGGGGGAAACCCAGCCCCCCTTTTGTATGCCTTTGATTACACCCCACTATCTATCTCCACATAGCCTTCACTTCAGAGACTGAGCTGCAGATGCCCGCTCTGCTGCCGGCCTTCCACTGGCTCAGCCCGGTTTGTAACTTGCAAAGTTTGTTGCCTTTGCCCGGGTTTCAGGCATTGGCTGCTGGGGATGCTCCTGCTACCCTCCTGCCTCCTGCAGAGCCTGAGAAGCGAGGCCTGCCTGCTGACTCCCAGCACCAGCCACTGGAAACTCTCACTCACGTTGCAACTAAAATCAAATCCAGAAA